CACTCTTTCATCTTGAGGGATTGGCATCATTGCTGAAAGACGGAGGAGGAGTACAGCAAGGACAACAGAGAGAAATGGAAAAGGTGGAAAAAAGTGGTAATAAAACTGCACCAACAAAATGTTTGCATGGTGGGCAATAGGCTGAAAAAAACTTGGAAAAAATCAACTGGACTAGATTTCTAGGTCGAAGACATTTCACCTCTCATCCAAGAGGCTTCATCAGTTCTGACTGACTGGTGTTGAGCCAGAGAAATTTATCCCCCTCGGGGGGAAACACCCAGACATAAACAGAGGTGGTGTATGCAATTAAGTGTAGTCAGGAGTGTAACAATGTGAACATTGGTGAAACTAAGCAGCCGCTTCACAAACGCATGGCCCAACACAGGAGGGCCAACTCCAGTGGACCAGAGTCAGCGGTCCACCTCCACCTGAAGGACAAAGGACATTCTTTTGAGGACAGTGAAGTCCAGATCCTCTCCAGAGAACATTGCTGGTTTGAGAGAGGAGTTAAGGAAGCTATTTTTGTAAAAATAAAACACCCCTCACTAAATAGGGGTGGTGGACTGAGACACAACTTGTCTTCCATCTACAATCCTGTTTTGAGATCTCTGCCCAAACATGCCCACCAGGACAATAGGTGTCGGTCGACAGGGGAGGATTCAAAGACAGGTAACGACTCTCACCGATACTGGGCTATAACGACTCAGTCGTTAAGGGACATTGTTGGCCTTCAAAGGACTGAAACACCACCAAGGGGGATAAATATCTCCGGCTCAACACCAGTCAGTCAGAACTGATGAAGCCTCTTGGATGAGAGGTGAAATGTCTTCGACCTAGAAATCTAGTCCAGTTGATTTTTTCTAAGTTTTTTCAGCTTACTATGGCCTGGATGACTGAGAATCTGCACAGACATGGTAGCCAATAGAAAATTCTAAAGGCACAGAGACATAAATTTGCTGTTTAAATGTTAAGCTTAAACATAAATTTGAAGAATCCTTGCTTTGGATGAGTGGTAAAATAAGACTTGCACTGCAGGATCCAATAATTTTGGAGCTTGATCCATACTAAGAGCTGAAAGTCAGGACATTTCAAAGCCTCAAGTGCTTTGACTGTGATCAACTTTTTAAAGTTGTCAAATGGAAATTCCAGAACTTTATGGAATGCAGTACAAAACCACTTCAGTAACCCTTTAAATAAGCAGGACTAAATCAACTAAGGCATGTATTTTCACCTAACTTCCTTTAAGGCCAACACTATTGTTAGAAAAGACTTGATTACACACAGGCGGATTCTATTTATCATCATTAGTCATTTAGGTCAACATTGGATCATTCAGAGATCCTCACTGAACTTCTGGAGAGAGTTTGCTGCACTGAAAGTAAAGGGGCTGAATAATTTTGCACGCCCAATTTTTCAGTTTTTTATTTGTTAAAAAAGTTTGAAATATCCAATAAATTTCGTTTCACTTCATGATTGTGTCCCACTTGTTGTTGATTCTTCACAAAAAATTACAGTTTTATATCTTTATGTTTGAAGCCTGAAATGTGGCAAAAGGTCGCAAAGTTCAAGGGGGCCGAATACTTTCGCAAGGCACTGTATACTGTAGTTATTTGTGTGTTTAATGGTGTGTAATTAGTACTCACCACTGGTCATCCAGAAAGTGAACGGAGGAGGCAGACCTGGTGGGGGGTTGCAGGGTAGAACCAGTGGGGAGCCTTCAGTCACCACCACTGGAGCCAGCACCTCCTTAGGCCACAGAGGAGCCTCTGGAGGATGGAGAGTAGGAGGGAAGGGAAAGGAGGTGGAGAATTGGGTAAGAGAGAAAGAAATCAGACAAAATACAGTTTGTATGACAAGCATTTGAGACAGACACAGGTGACAGAAGGATGACAGGATTATGTGTATCAGACAAAATGCAGAAAATATGGAAAGTCTTACCAACTGATTAGTATTGAGCTAACCATTTAATTGTGCCTCACATGTGAATTGTCCTATTGGCAATGTGACAAGATGTAAGGTATTTCTGCTGCTTGCAGCTGTGGCCAGCACAGTGGCATTAGCAATGTTTAAAACCTTTTGTGCAACAGGAATTCATGAAAAGGTCACAGTTAAGAAAAAAACTAAATTCAGGCATGATGTCAGCCATCCTGGTACCTTTCTTCTGTCTAAACAGTTTTACAAAAAGAGTACATTTTCAGATCCATTCAGTCAGTGAGATGCTCTTATTTTTAGTGGAAAGATAATGTCTTGTTCCACTTGATTTTTAAACTGCCCTAACATTTCTTCAATGTGGAAATAAATGATAAGCAGTTCT